GTTCCCACTCCCCTCTTATTTTCTTCTCCATCCCACATTACCTGCTCTTCAACTTCATACATTTTCTCTATTATATATCCTTCTTGTCTTATTTGTCTTATAATCGCCACCGCCGCCATCCTTCCACGACTCACGGTATTAGCTGTGTAAGCCTATTACTCTTTTCCACTGATGAAACAACCCTGAAGAAAGATGCCAGTTGCAACTAAGTGAGCACTTTTGCTCCTCAGTTCTTACTTTATTTTACTTTTTCCTTCCTCTGGTATCCTTAGGATGTCGAGGGGAGGTGCAGGTTTCAGCGTCTGTGATATGCTAATTAGTTATATTGTTCCAGAGCCTTTTTAACCCCATCCAGTCAGGTCTTTCTTGGTCTTCCTCTTGATTTAAAGCCGGATTCGCGGGTGTGGTAAGCTCTAGCCGCTAGTTGTTTCTGGGGCATTCTGGTTAGATGTCCGAACCATTTGACTCTTTGACGCTCTAATAAATTTACTACTGGTAGACGTATGGTCTCGTTCCTTATGCGGTCTCCTCTGGTGGCGTTGGTGGTTTTGCAGAAACATGTGATTTCGCGTGCATTGATTTTCCTTTCTCATGCCTTGTTTAGAGACCATGTTTGGCACTGGTATGTTAATGTTGGTATGAAGATTCTATTGATGAGCTGGGGATGTCACTTCAGTTGGGATGTTCTTGTGACTGAGAAGGGGTGCTAGCTGGTAGGTCACTGCATTTGCCTTCATGGTTCTTTTTCTTTGTCCTTACGCCCAACTAGTGAGAAGATGCTTCCCAAATATTTAAATTCCTCTACTTGTTGGAGTTGTGTTCCGTCAACAAGGATGTTGAGTTTCCCTGGGTTTTTTCTTGCCTTCATAACTTCTGTTTTTGAAATGAAGATTTTCATGTTTAGGTGTTTATATTCCTCATTAATTAATTTTGTGGTGTGTTTTTTTGTGATTCCTCTTCATCTGTATTTAATGTACTCTGGTCATCAACAAATACTAGCTCGCTCAGTTCACTGATGTTGTCATTTGCTGCTTTCGTGATCTTATCCAGGTAAGTGATGAAGA